ACGGCGGCTGAGTATTGATGACTAGGGTAGAATCACGTGTACATATATAATATCGCGTTTTCAGAAACCGCGATAACAATATAAAAGTTAAAAGTACGAGTTGTGTCTCGTCCTTTGACATAACCCAGGTTGTTACGAAGTAGATTTAAGACAAAAATTTAGACTACTCTTATTCCTTGTTTATATATGCCACATCTAATAACTTAATGCGAAATCGATTTTTAAATAAATTAACATATAACAAGTAAAATAAATAAGAAGATACGTTTTGCTAAATCTTATATCGATGTGATTCTCATAACATGAGAAATTATATATGCTGTAAGGAACATCTGTAATTATAATTATAAAAATAAAAATAAATTTCATAATAAATTGATTTATGTTAATTAAATTCATGCGCTGCATATTTCTTTTTTATATTTCAAAATCGAGCAGCAAATTTTTCGTTGCATTTTCCATCGGTTTTTGCTTTAAATAATTTGTAGAAATTTTGTTTATTTACTGTGTTTTTCTGAGAATTTTATTTTTAAGCCGGTACTCATAATCGAATTTTATATTTATATATAGATCGTTTTACATACAATCTCTTAAAATGTTATCAATCACGGAGAGTGTTAATATCTTCAGACAATTCTTAAAATAATGAACTGTGAATATCAGCTATAGAACCTAAAGGTAAAGTGTTTTTGAACATGTCCTTGATTTTCAATTATTTCTCATGCTTTTGTTTTGAAAGAATGATCGATAATCGAGTAAACATGAGAAAAATGACTAGCAGAATGCAAATATGAACGCTTGCCGAGAGGTTGTATCGTCAACTGCCAAGTTATTGGATGTCTCCAAGTACAATTTGCGATGTAATCGCAATATCAGTGAGAAAATGACGAAGAAAGATTTCATCTACGACATCCCAACACCAGTGCAGACCATGAGAAAGGTATTTTCCCTTTTTTGCGACAATAAGAATTATTCTTGGAGGATTTCTAAATATTAATGTATAAATAATTTCAAAGTATAATATTTCATGGAAATAAAACGATGATTGATGCATGCATGTATTTATCGTTGTTTGATGACAATTCTTAAAATGTGTATATCAGAATAAAAATTCATAATTTACAGTTTGACATACAAAGACAACCAATTATTCTACTACGACGAAAAGATATTGGTACAAGAATGCCACATTATACTATAATTTCTGAAAAACGGGAGGACAATGGTGGCAGTGGCGATGCGATTATTGTAAGTAGATATTATTAGGTGTAAAAAGAAATCCATTATTTTTGCATGAAATTGAATGGAAAAATAATGGATTTTTTTTTATTACACCTAATATTTGTGAGAAATGGAATTTTATTCGCCTTTTTGTTATTTGTATTGGGAGTACAAATTAGTTCGGTTTCCCTAAAGATGGCTCCAGCTGTTGTGAATGGTTCATAGTGACAGCTGATTTTGGCGGTTTCAGAGAGGTTAAATATCTGCTAATAATATTCAGTTTATATCGCTTTAAGTTTCATACAAAACTTCGATTTTTACTGTGAATTTGAAATGTCAAATTTTGTGTTAACCAAACAGCATTTGCGGGAGGTTTTGATTTTCTGCTTTAATTGGAAGAAAAGTGCGGCTGAAGCCCATCGAATGCTTGTCGAAGTTTATGGTGACACTGCTCCAACTGATAAATCATGTAGGGAGTGGTTTCGACGTTTCAAGGATGGAGATTTCAGCGTTGAAGACAAGCCTCGCTCTGGACAGTCAAAAAAATTCGAAGACAAAGAATTAGAGATATTACTCGAAGAAGATCAGAATCAAACGCAAGAGGAGCTTGCAGAATAATTGGAGGTAACTCAATAAGCCGTTTCTGTGATTGAGAGCCATGGGAATGATTCAAAAACAAGGAAATTGGGTGCCTTAAATTGAAACCGAGAGACGTTGAAAGGCAATTTTTCACTTGCGAATAGCTGATTCAAAGACAACAGAGAAAAGGTTTTTTTGCATCGGATTGTGACTGGAGATGAGAAATGGATATTCTACGACAACCCCAAGAAGAAAAAAATACTACGCTAAGCCCGTCGTTGTTATCGACCTCAACATCAACACCATGGCCGAACATGGTTCGAAGATCGTGCTCTGTATCTGGTGGGACCAAAAAAGGGTCTTGTTTACTACAAGCTGCTGAGACCTGGCGATTCCTGGCGATAGTTATTCTTCTTTATGACAACGCTCGGCCTCATGTCGCTAAAGTCGTAAAAAAATAATTGGAAACGCTCAAATGGGATGTTTTACTGCATCCGCCGTATTCTCCGAACATTGCTCCTTCTGATTACTGATTGTTCCGAAAGATGCAGCAAGTCGGTTCTTCTTTCACTTCTTTCACAGAAATCGAAAATTGGCTTCAAAATTGGATCGTCTTCGAAGATGAGTCATTTTTTCGAGATAGAATTCGAAAATTGCCTGAGAGATGGGAAAAAGTAGTAGCCAGCGATGGACAATACTTTAATTGATATGTTCATTCATTTTATTTTGAAATAAATGCACAAAAAAACGGACCGAACTAATTTATACTCCCAATATGCCGAATCTAATTTTATTACAAGTAATGGAGCTATGGGTGCTCAAATATTCTTCTTTTTTTAATTTATATTTTTTTTTAATTTAAACAATAAATTTAATTCAAATTAAATGAAGATTTAATTGTTAAAAAAATATAATTTTTTTCTATTGCATTGTTTTCTATTGCAGTGTTATCCTATATAATCATAATCTTAATATTATATATCTACTTCTATATCTTAATCTCTTAATCCATTTTTATTTCTAGTGTTTAAATTTTTACTTGTTTTAAGTATCTATAAATTTCTGAGGTACAAAGAATGAATAAAAGTTTCTTGTCAAGATTTTATTAAAGTATAAAAGTTTGCTTAAAATTGCATGTATTAACTAACTAAATTACAAAATACCATAAGGTGCATAAAGCTAATTAAAAAATTGACATGAATATTAAACTTTGAAAATAAATCACAATTACTTTATAATATCGGAAAAGAGAAGGTTTTCTTAAACAACTATACACAAAATCATTTGTTTTCTATTTTACATCATTTTTTCAAAATTAGTTATCAGCTAAAAGAAAGAGAGAAAAATGGAAGAATTTTTCTTTCTGTTCCTTGGCGAAACTTTGATGTTTCTCCTCGACCTCATTCTTAACGGACGTATTAAACAAAGTAACGGTTAGCCTCAACGACAAAATTGCGATGTCACGAAAGAAAAGATGAGGGGAAGGTATTGATGGGCGCAATACATCATGCGGGATAAGAACTAAAAGACGACTGTAAGCTTGTAACTTAAGCTGTATCTTGATTGTCTGTGTTTTTTACAATTTCTTTCAACTCATTCGCTATTTGGTGTTAAAAGCCAGCAGTCTTGGTCAACTTTTTCCCCCAATTCCTCGCGAGGGAATGTCCGAACTTCTTTCTTCTCAGCGTTTCTTGCAAATGATTCCAGGGAAAAGCGAAAATAATGTGGGTGTCAAATGACGCGAGGCGATTAGTCAGACAAATTAAGAAAAATTTCCGAAGCGATCAATGAACGTTTTGAAGCAATGAATTGAAATTCAAATATTTATTGTATTTTTTTTATCATAAGATTTGTTTTTAATTATATCAAAAAAGAATTTTATTGTAACCACTTTTTCATGCCTTTTAGGGAATTATTTAAGTTTTTTATTATATGTAAACATCATAAAATGTTTTATTATAGTAACAAGTAAAAAATTTTATAATTAAATCAAATATTTGAATAAATCTTATCAATAATTTCTCACAATGGGAATCTTGAAATGAAATAAGATCATATTACCTGCAATGCTCATAATATCTAATCTTACTTTATAATAAATAATTTCCTTTAAAACAAATTTTAGTTAAACTAAATAGCTTAATATTTAAAAATATAATTAAAAGGTATAATTTTTTAAAGATACTGATACATACGTACATTAGATTTTAAAGAGTTAATTTTTAGCGCCAGAGTGAAACTTTTTTTTTTCATTTTTTATATACCAATCTGTTGAAAAAATTGGAAACAAAAGTTTCATTATTGTCGAATTTTTTAGGCTGCCGATCGACGACGCATTTTAAGATATTCGTGCAATCTTTGCCAAGAACCGATGGCAACTTTATTTTCTCTGTCGACACACGTCAAGTTTCACTGCCAGAGATACTGCAAGATATGCTATTGGATTCCACGTGAAAACGAGACGATGGAACGACACATTGGTAATTGTCATCGAACCGTATCAGAGATTGCAAGCTTCTAGTGTTTGAAAACGTCGAAGTAATAACACCTGTTCTTAATACCAAATGTCTATTTAAAAGCTAATATTTCATATGTAATATATCCATACTTAATGTTATAACATGTTTTATATTTTGACATAATGAGCAAAGTTCTATAAAAAATGTAATTGATTTAAAGCAGTGATGTGCAACTTGTAGCCTATGAATTTTTTGCAATCAGCTAGCTTGCCGTAAATATAAAATTATATTTTCTATTTTTTATTCAAACAAAATAATGACATATGGACATTTATTTATTTATGAAAATGCCTTTTTAAAAATTTCTTTAAAAAGACTGCGCATCATCACTAATTTAAAGGGTTAAATTTAATTTATAAATATCAATTTAATATTGATAAGTAGAAACTTTAGCACTTTCTTTAGACTACATTTTCTTTGCTCCTCTAAAATATGTGTGTGTATGTTTATGTTTCATTTCATTTTATTTTTTTGTACTCGAGATGAATTTTATTTTGAAGTCAAGATTGCTTGAGATCGGCTTTGTTTGAGTAGCCTAAATTTTAATTGCGACAGTTATGTATGTATATATGGGATTAAATTATTCTTGTTTTGAATTATATTGCCGATGAATTATGTAATTATAATTCCCGCATTGGTGACGAGTCATCTGTCATTAAACAACTAAATTCATTAGTTGACATGTCATCATAGTACGTCTCTATTTGCTTTATTTGCCTCAGATAATCTTACACGCGAATTGAAAAGAAATTAGGTTAATTACGCTCTTGCCTGTTAATCAGCGTAATACAACGCTTTCACACAGCATTTCCGGTTTTTATCACGTGCACGACATATAGTAGATAACACGTTTACTAAATATCATTAATTCCAGATTAGGAATAACTTCCGGATTAGGCATTTTCGTATGTACAACAAGCTGGGTTGCCTGGAGCTGGGTTGCACATCAGTGATGCACATTTGGTCTCGGGCATCTCAAAGAATCAGCCCCTTCACTTTTGCTCCACCAATTAATGTTATGTTCGGTTAATAAAGAGCGGCGTCAATTGGTGAAGTAAGAAAGAAAAGTAAAGAGCATCAAGGCTTAATTTATACCGAAGTCAGAATACAAGAATCAACCAACTGCAATCGAGCATTCTTCTGTTACAGTCGAATGACAAGGGAATGCAATTGGTTGGTTCTTACATTCCTATTCGACTGCAATTGGTTGGTTCTTACATTCCTACTCGAATCGAACCCTCAGTGTAAACTAGACCACTATTGCATATTTCGATCGATTTTACCTGCCGTCATCCCTACTCTTTTTGTTTCATAACATTTAGACTGCGCAGAACGAGAGAGTTCAGGGACGATAGTAGCTGCAATAACCATATGAGACACTGTAGGACTATAGAATTTTGAAACATTGCTCCGCGTTCACTATTTACAGAATTTTATTATTATTATTAACAGTATTTGGATATTATAAAATATCAAAGTAATTGTTCAAAATAGAACAAGTATATTAATTAAGGTATAACAGTAAGTATATACATGCTGAAAAAAATGTGTCTTAATTTCAAAAAAATTTTGATTTTAAAAATATAAGATAATATAATATATATAATATAATATAATATTTATTTAAAATATTTAATGTTAAAA